TGCACGTATGCATGTGTATATATATATATGTTGTGTATATATGTATATGTGTATGTATGTATATGTGTGTATACTGCACCAATGTAAATACAAAGAATAAAAAAAAACAATTAGAATTGAATGCTATATAATTATAATGACAACATTCGACCCCAAAGAAGAGATATGAGATCTATGATACCATCATTGAGTTTCCTTCCTCAAAAAATGAAAATCTCGATCTCTTTTTGCCTTCAAAGATGGTTTCTTTTATTCTAACTAATTCAAGTACTTATAAATATAGATATGTTTATAATAAATATACACATAGAAATGAATGTGTATATACATCTGTATCTATAAGTTTCCAGTGGGAAGGGTATATGGAGAAAGAGACAGAGACAGAGAAATAGAGAAATAGTTGGGTGGGTGGGGCAGTGTACAGTACAGTAAATAGAAGCCAACCTTGGAGTCAGAAAGAAGAAGGTTCTAGTCCTATCTCTGACACATAATGCCTTTTTGGCTCTGGGCAAATTATTTAATCTCTTTGTTTCCCTAGACAAATCCCAAAACTAAATCATTTAATCAATAAATATGTGTATCTACATCAGAGTAAGAGAGAGAAAAAATATAAAGAGCTAGAGATAATAAAGGCAAGACAGACAATATAATTTTATTAAGGAATATATCAACCTAGAATCATTTCAGTAAAATGTTATGTAAAATGATTTACAATAATATAATAAACCAATTAAAAAAACAGTAAGGCCAAAGCCAATAAGACTCAAATTTAGTGGATTGCAGGTAGAGCAATAGATTGGCTCACCAAATGATTAAATCAATTCAATTTTGCTATTAAGAAACCTGAAATAGAATTTTGAGTGAATATTATTTTATTATTTTAAGCAAGCAGGTACTCAAATCAGATTGATAATTCAACAACCCAATCTACTGCTTGGCACCTGAATTTTATTATTCCTAAATAAAGGTATAGTCCTTTGTCCATTGTCATAATACATATCCCATGAAATGAACTATATAAAAAGTTAAACCATTTATGTATCATAAATAGAAGTTTACATGAAAATAATTCCATTAAAGATATTGGCCATTAATTAATTAGTCTGAAATTCTGTACTCTTAATATTTTCCTTCTACCTTGCCACCATGGTTCTTTTTCTCTATCATTGTCTCACCATCCTTTTTTTACCCCTTAAAGGGTTTTATACTTTGCCTTTTTTTCTTCTCTTCCTATATTCCCTTCCTAGGTAAACTTATTCAATCACATATTTTCTGTATTACTTTTATGCTAGTAATATGCAAATAATAAGAAATAAATCTGTTTCTCTAGCCCTTACATCAATCCCGAACTCCACGGCAATATTTCCAACCAACTATAGTACATCTTTATAATATATCACCAGTCAGTACATCAAACAACTTGTCAAAAGTTCAATTTTTGAAAAACCTAGTCTTTCTTCTGATTTCACTATATCTTTTAGTGCCATCATACCCCTACCTCACCCCCATTTCCATGTTTAAAGGTTTTATATTGTTTGACTATTCCCTCTCTCTCACTTCTCAGATACAGTTAGTTAACTTGTGGATTCTATGTTGGAAATATCTTTCCCACCCAGTCCTTGCTCTTTATACCCATTGCTACCACCTTATTATGTCATAGTCATCTACCTGGTCTATTCCAAGCACCTACTCACAAGTCTCTACTCTCTCCTTTATTTGCCTCTATATACCACTATCATATTTATTTTATAAATAGATATGGTCATATCACTCCATTACACAAAACTCTTGAATGACTCCTAATTGCCCAAGCATCATTCAAATTCCTTAGCTTAATATTCAAAATTCTCCACAATCTGGTTCCACCCTATATTTTCATGTTTACCTCATCCTTGTATGAACTCTAAGCACTGATCAGATTGGGCAATGTGATGAACCCAATATTCTCTAAACTTTATAACTTGTGTAAGATGGTTACTTGTGTCACCAATACCCTCTCCTTTGCCTACTATTTCAACTTCTCTTTTGTTGGATTTTTACCAGTTGTGAGGCTCTGATCTGAAGGTTTCCTCATCCAGGGAGCTTTTTCTGATGCTTCCCAATCAGTAACAACCTCTACCCATTACACACACTCAAATATCATATAAAATTTTGCTTATTCATACTTGATATGGCATATCCTTCTAACTGGTAATTATCTCCATGAGTGCCAAGACTTCCATATTATCTAAACTTTGTATTTCCTGCCTGTACCTAGAACATCACTCTGTACATAATAGGCATTTTAAAATATTTCTTCAATTAAATCAATTCTCTCTATAAAAAAGTAATCTTTTACTACACTTATTCTAAAGACCCCTAGGGTGTTAGATACATTTAAATCTTCTTAAATATTCAAACATTTTTAGACAAATTCAAACATTAATAGACAAATTAAATTATTTACCACTTTTCTTGGCTTTGAATAGAAGCACATAATCCCAATAATAAGAAAAAAAATGTCTATTCTTTTGGAAAACCACCTAGTCATTAATCTTCTATAATTTAGCCAGGTACCGAAATTAGGTGCTGACAAAATAGAACAACTCATTTGCATTCTAAAACAGACAAATGGTAAACACAGATGTCAGAAATGAAAAATTGATCTCAGTTACCTCATGGTCTTGGACCCATCTTATAGAAATACAAGTAACAACATGTACCTTATAGACCCTGATCTATGCACACCTTTGTAACACCATTTTGAAAAAAGGGTGAAGTCTTAAGTACGTTTCAAAACTGTCTCCCTCTTCTTTGCAGCCTGCTCTGTACTGTTGTAAACAAAGTGCCTGGCAAACATTCAATGCTGTAAATAGGCAGAAAAAATTATTATGCCTTAAATGAAAGCAATAGAATGAAGTAACCAGCAAAGCAATGCTTTAGTAAGTGTGAAGGTTATTATTTTTCATTTGTAAATAGAGAATTAGCTATTTTTAGACAATACATTTTACAACTCTCACATTTTAACAAGATTCATACACACACATCCTCTCTCTCTACACACACACACACACATACACACACATTTCTCAAAATTGGTTTTAAGTCATGGTAGTGATAAGCTGAGCTTCTATATTAAGTGATTCTTTTCATTCTAATTAATCAAGTCTTAGAAAACTGATTGGGTAGTAAACTCATGAAGCTTATTACTGCCAGAAGTGGTAATAAGTGGATTTGTAAAAATCTTCTGACGCATTTACAAATGACACACACAAATCATTACTATGAGAAGTTGAACCAAGTTTTTCAAGTTGACATACTCTCTCTAACTACCTCTGGAGGATATTGTTGGCAAAAGAACAATAGCCTTGATGGAATATAACTTTGACATAGAGGGGCAATCTCTATATTTCTGTGTCTGGTTATTGAATTTAATTCAATAACTTATTGAGCACTTACTCTTTATAGGAAACTCTACTAGGTACTGAGGTTGAATCAGTGATGGGACTAACATTGCCAGTGTCATTAAGGTATTTACCATCTAGTAGAGGAAGTAAAACACACACATACATACATATATAATATATACATACATATATACCTAAGTAATATATACACATACATACACACATATACACACACAAGTATCATATAGAACCAAATGTAGAGGTAACTAATTGGGGGGGTAGTTCAAAGAAACATGTGTCTACTTAACTGTGAAGATTTGGTAAAGGCCCTAAACATGAGATGTGACATCTGAGCTGAGCTTTTCATGATGGATCACAGCATTACAAGATCACAGATTTATAGTCAGAAGGGACTTTGGTGGCCATTGATTTCTACCTCCTCATTTTTCATATGAGGCACCAAGAAGTCCAGAAACTTGCCCTGACATGGTAGTATAGCTAGTAAGTGTTGGAGACAGGATTTGAACCCGGGTTTTCCTGACTTCAAGTCCAACACTTTACCGAGTGAAGCACTATGCTACCTCATTGCCCACTGGCTGGTAAAGACATTGGGGAAGTTTACTCCTAGAATGAACAAACACACAAAGGCAAGAAAGTATGATCTCTCTCCCTCCCTCTTTCTCCATATATGTGTGTGTGTGTGTGTGTGTGTGTGTGTGTGTATGCATGTATAGCTCACTCACTCACTTACTTTATCCATCTATTTATATCAATATCTACATATTTGGAAAATAGTGGATATATCTTTTTACTTGCAAGTACAGGAGGGAAAAAGAGGATTAGTATGATATAAAGAAACTCCCAATGAGGAAACTTTATCAATGTTGATCAACAATTTAAAGTCTTAAATAGTTACCTGGGCCACAAAAAGATGAAGTGATTTTTTTAGGGTAATAAAATTAGGATGCATCAGAAGGATGATTTGAACTCAGGTGTTGCTGACTTGGAAACCAGATCTCTATCTTCTATTGGCATATTGCCTTTCTGGTTCTGATTTTTCTGAAGTTAGCTAAGGAAAATATTAACTTAACCCTATTCACATTTAGTATCATAAAATAAATTATAACTGCTTTGAAATATACAAAATGAGGGAGCTGGATTATATGACCTCTAAGATCCCTCCTAGCTTTAGCTTTATTATATTCTGAGAAAATGCAGCTCCTGTGAAGTCTTTTGACAAGGGCTCCTATCCCTACTCCCAAATGAATAAAAAATTCTAAATATAGATGATATGCTCAAATCTCTCTCTCTCTCTGTCTCTGTCTCTGTCTCTGTCTCTGTCTCTCTCTCTCTCTCTCTCTCTCTCTCACACACACACACACACACACACAGACATGCACATGTGCTTCTAGAAATCTTGATTTGCAAGAGATGGAAAAATTCTTTAGGTATTCTCTGGTCAAAAATATATAATGTAGGCTTGTCAAAAAAAAAAATGGACCTAAATAGGTGTGTTGACAATTATATATTAACATTCAGCACTAAACTAAGGTGAGTCAGAAACCTTTCAGAAAATAAAATTCAGATATGCCTGAGGAAGAAAGAATATGGTACCTGATAAAATTCTAATTTCTGCTTCATTTCCAGTTCTTGAGCTAGCTGGATTTCTGGCAAGGCATCTATAGATTCCATTGTCTCCTGGTTGAAGTCTACTAATCTGTAAAGCTCCAGAAGGCAATATGACTATCCGAGAATCACCAGGACTTAGAACCAGGTCTTCTTGATTCTTCTGCCAATGTATTGTTGGCATTGGCTCCCCTACAACCTCACATTTTAATAATACTGTGTCTCCCATGAAGGCTGTGACAGATTCCGTTTGAGAAAGAAACCGCAATGGCCCTAGGAAACAAGGAAAAGGATGATAGTTTATATGAAGCACGATTACAATATGTATGTACAGAAAATATGATTTTTAGTAAATTATCCAATCTAAGTAATATTCAAACCAGTATTGTAGGGCCATAGGGAACATAGAAGTATTTATTAATGAGGGCAGTTACAAGAAAATAAATACATATATTTCCTACAAAGAGAGCAACCATCTTTGAATGGTTTCTGACATATTTTCATTAGGGCTAACTTTGAGACAAACATTCAACTTATTATGTCTATATGAGAAAAGGTCTACCTTGTCTACCTTGAAAAAAGCCCTATAAATCATGAAATATGTGAGGAAATCTCAGTGAGAGAAACTGTAGAAAAGGTAACTGCCTGAAAGGGGTATGGGGGGAGTTGGATCAGATGACTGGTAAGGTCCCTTCCACATGAAAATCTAGGCTTCTACAACTTGCCTAGTTATATAGTTGTACCATTGGAATAGCAACAAATATTATAAAGGACTTGGTTTAAATCTTCATATCTCAACATGTGACGGGAACTTCTGAAAGCTAACCCTCACTACTTTCTCTCTCTATCTCTGTCTTGTTCTGCTTTTCTTTCAGTATCTCTGTTTCTCTCTTCATCTCCATCTCTCCTCTCCCTCATCACTGTCTCTATCTATGCCTCTATTTCCTTCCCCCTCCCACCTCTGTTACTGTATTTTCATTGTGTAAATATAGGTGCTTCTACTAAAAAGGTTATAGAGCAGACATTAGAGAGATGCCACAATTACTCCATAAATCAGAAAAACAAATGTATTTAGTACCCTAAGTTTACCTGATTTCTACAAGTAAGATGATAAGAAGTCCAATACTTGAAAAAATATTGAAATTCTTCACCACCTCAATCCCACCTTCACTCCAACACTACAGATTGATCAGAACAACCTAATACCATCCACACCTCCAATTTCTTTCTTTTCATTTAGGTCTCAATTTAAAGTAGCAATCTATATCTCTGCTGGACCTACCACTGGGTGAAAGCCAAGAGAAATCAATTAACAAATGTACTGGCTCGTTCCTCAAAGTCCAATCTGTAGGTTTTCTGTGTAGCCCAGTCTACAATCTACTAAAAAAAATCCTGCATGAAATCAGTACTGTTTAACATAAGTAGGAGTTGTAAGTATGTACTTAAAAAGATAGTACTTTTCAGAATGGTCCATGGAAAATTGTAGGGTTTACACATTTACACAAAGCTTCCAATTTTCAAAATGCTTTCTGATGGGTTTTTAGGACCTCCCTATCCCCAGGACTTTCCTACCAAGATATTACTACTCTAATTCACCACTTGCACCCAAATAAAACATTGAATGGTAATGAACAGATTTTTTTTGAGGGGAAATGGGAGTGTCTTTCCCCCTAAGAGCAGATAACACTTGCATCTTAAATGACAGGCTAAGGCTTAATTTTAAAATACATTAGTAAACCACTAGGAGACTTCTAATTCAACTAACATTTAATAAGGAACTACTGCATGCATGATATGGTATGAGACACTGAGGATACTTTTTTTTTAAAGTGACCGCACATAAGAAATGTATAATCTACTAGTCATAGTCTTTGATTATGATGAATGGACCTGACCTAATAATTTCTAAATATTCCTACCATTTAGTAAAATCTGTATGTGTGTGTGCATTCATGCATGTTTGCGTGTGTATTCAGTGAATGAGATCTGAACAAATCATTGCTAAATGCTAGAAAATTCAGGATAATGCAGATTGAGAAACTCATCACAGTGTAAATTTAACTTAAAAAACAATATTTGCCAATCTCAAAATATGCTAGATATATATTTGACATAAGGAATTAGCAACATCATTTGTAGCAGTTTTTTTCCCTATAAAGAAAGCTCAGCTTATTGAAAATTAATTCATAATCTCCAATATCATATCACCATTGAAGTTATTCTTAATATCATAATAGATTTAAGTACTTATATCTTATTGTATTGTAACAAATTCACAGTCATTGGAAAACACAAAGGAATTATATGCTAGAAATTTCAAAAGCTAAATTTTCAAAGAACATATATGAGTGCAGAGTATTGTTCACTTAAATTTAGAGATACTCATAAGAAAGAAATGCAATATTTTGGGTACTATTCCAGGACAGTCCAAGGGATCTTCAAGAGCTTCTTCAAAGATTGATGCACACACAACTGTAACTCAATTTTCATTTCATACAACTAAAAACTCCTAGGTATTAGATAAGAAAACTAAATCTACTAGAGTTTAAGTAACTTGCCCATAGTCACACAAGTAACAAGTGCCAAAAGTGGTAATCCAGCCCAAAAACCTACTGACTTTAAGTTTTGTATTCTTTCTACCACATTATGTTATCATTGCTGGAGTAGATACAAAATTAGAAAAGACAGTCCCTGCTCATTTAAAGCTTACATTATAAGAAAGGTGTAAGATACAAAAGGACAATTGTAACATGCAATATTATATAAGAACACTATGGAGATTCGAAACATAGTTCTGTGAGGTGTAAGGGGGGAAAGGTAAGCCAGGTATAGAGAGGATCACAGAAGGATTCATGGAGAAGGAGACACATTTTTGGAAATGCCCACATACTTAGCATTAATTACACCAAGGCTTTACCACATTAAAAGAAAAGCTATCAAGTCAAAGAGAATTGCTTGGACTTAGGTAGTAATCAAAAGGATGATGAGTTGTTAAATGCCAACTATGGAATTAGTGTCACAAGTGATGGGGAGAAGGGAGTTAATATGGTCATGAGCATGTATGTATACCCCTGAACATTACCTCATGTGTGACCTTTGGCATGTCTACTCATTGCTACACCAGACTATATCTAGTGTTGACTATTTTTTTGCTTTTTTATCTTAATACATTGTTTTGAGAGAGAACCAAAGATGCACATTTAAGAGAAACCATTTATTTTTTTAATAGACTTGTTTTCTCAGACAATCTCAGAGGTAGAATGTATCTTGAACAGAGTATTTAGAAGGAGGTGGTGGCCAGTAATATAAAAAGGATTACAAAAATTGAGATGAGGCTTAAAAAAAATTGTAAGTCATCTTGCAAATAAAGTTCAGTAGAGTTGTGGAATTAGAAGCCATGTCAAGATGCTAATGGGGATGGATGGGTGTTAAGGAGTTAAAGACAACAGTAGCATACAACTATTTCTAGAGGTTTCCAGTGAAAGGGTTGAGTATAAAATTTAAGAGGATTGTAGGACCCTGTAGGACCTTCCCTGTAGGAGGCCCTGTAATGTTTATAGAAATTGGGGAAGAGATCAGTAGAAAGAGAAAGATTGCTGGGACATTAATTGCAAATATAGTGTGGAGGAAACAAAGTGGAATGGAATCAAGGACCTAAGTAGAGAAGTTACATGTGACAAGGGGAATAGCTTCTCTTTCCTAAGAAGATAGCAAAGTTTTTTTTTTTCTTCGGATGAGTTTTGTTTCCTCTTTCTTGTAGTTCCTCCACTGCTTCTAATTCTTACCTGCAATATCACTAATGTGAAAACATGTTTAATAGGAATATATATGTATAGCCTATATCAGATTGCATGCCATCTTGGGGAAGGGAGGGGGAAAAGGAGGGGGAGAAAAATTTAAAACTCAAAAGCTTATGGAAGCGATAATTCAAAATGAATTAATTAAAAATTTAAAAAAAGAAGACAGCAAATAAGAGAACATTCATAGAGCCTTTGAGGTAGGGAGTAGAAGAGTAGAGAGATATCATGAGAGATGGTCTCAATTTTCTAAGTAAAGTTTAAAGTAAGATTATCTATTTAGATGGGTGGGGAGGGGTTAGATATGAAAGGCCTAAAGGGAAAAAAAGAGATTGGGCTAATTACTTTGGTAATTAATAGAGTGAATTATTGAAAAATCAAAATATTAGTGTGTTGTTATGAGGACTTTCTTGAGATTAGATAATATGAATTTATAGTAGTTTCAACTGGCATAGTTGCATGGTATTATCTAATGGCATTCAACAGTGCAAGAGTAGAAACAGAGAAGATGAGTCTTCGGTAACCTGAGTCTAAGGACTGGCATGGCATGAGTAGCATCAAAATAGGTATATGCAATAGAGTACTGGACTTGCAGTCAGGAATAACTATTCAATACATACTAGATGTGTGACTGTAGGCAGGCCATTTTACTGCTCTCAGTCTCAGTTTCCTTATTTGTGAAATGAGAACTATAATAGCACTTACCTCTCTAGGTTATTGTGAGAATCAAATTATATAGCATTTAATGCATTTTTAAAATCTTGAAGCACAATATAAAGTCTATTATTGGTATTTTTTTTGTTGTTTTTGTTATATAAGAGGCTAAGATATTAAAATGTGAGTGTGGAAGATGCTGAATAATTGAATCCATTAAATATAAATTTAAGGAGAAAGAAAAGAAAATGAGGCTAGAATAAGAGTGATGGTTTAAGATACCAAAGGGATGGAAATACTGAAAATGCCTATAAAGACTAAGACCAGATTTAGGAGAAAGTAGGCTCAAGGAAAGGGAAAGGATAATAAATTATGATGAGAGGGAGTAATTTCAGTGTTTGACATCATGAAATTGGAATGGTCATGAGTTATGGTAAACTCTAAGCAATGACAACTTTGGCGGAATAAAGAAAAGTTTTGGGGATTTGAGGAGATTGATAAAATAGGGGCTCTTTGAGGGTCATTAACATATGTACTAGAATTGCCAAATCTGAGGGTGGGACAACAGGAGAAGAGGAATCTTTGGATTTCTTGAATCCTTGAATGCCTTGGGGGGAGGGGGGAGAATGACCTTGAAGCCATATTACAACAAAGATGTAGACAAATATATATATATATATATGAATAAATACAGAGAGAGATATAGATATAGATGAAGTAAAAGTAAAAGGAGGAAAGCTGAAGAATAACAGAAGCAGATAGAGTGTCTATAAGTGGAAATAAATGGTAAGGAGAAAGCTGACTCCTCTTCCTGGCTCAGTA